TTTTTTTTTTTTTAAATTCTTTTTTTGGTAAATTATATTTATAGTTGATTATTTTTGAGCGAGAAGTGAACTGAAACACATGATTATGTCTCAAAGATGGTGTTTTTATTTGGGTGTCTGAGGGGTGATTTTGTTTTCCTTCATTATTTTTTGTGTTTCACTCTTTCAGGTGAACTGAAATCACTGTTTGGGTCGGATAGTAACCTTTGACATTAAAGTGATTTTTTGTTTTGATTTTTATAGTTTTTGTAATTTCACAAATTCTGTAGTTCTTGTGTGAGATGATGTTTCGAGAAACCGGATACATTAGTTTGTTTATATGGAATTATGGATTCATTTTCATAGTTTACCGAAGAAAAAGTTGAGTGCTTTCTTAAAACCCAGATGAAGAAAGATTCAAATTTTACTTGTATGAAAGATTACTATGCAACCCATGAAATTTTCGAATGATGTCACTTGATTCCGAAAATCTTCTCGCAGAGTAACTTTGCTTTCATTCCCTTGACGACAACCAGACGAATACATTGCTTGGCTGCAGTTTCTTGATGTAAATAGTTATAATAGATCGTCACATGGGGGGAGCTTGTTCAAGAAAACGAGACCAACAGGTTAACGAGGATAACTTGAACAGAGGAATTTCTAAAAGATATATTAAAAGTGGGAGCTCAAAATGGCTTGGGACGTCGTTTAGAGCATCTATGGACTCCAGTCAGGGCGAAAAGAGTTGCCCGTCTCTTATGGATTTGTGTATTCGCAAAATTCGTGAAGTATGTTTGAGCATAGACTCCTTTCCTTTTCGAACATATATATAACAAGGGAAATAATGAGCAAAGTTTTCTTGATTGCAGGATTTAAACAAATATAGCACTTTCTCAATGCTGCCAAGGGATATAAGCCAGCAGATATTTGATGATTTGGTCTACTCACAATTACTAACTGATTCCATACTTGATGCGTTTAGGGATTGTGCTCTACAGGTATAGTTTGAAAGCTTTAACTGAATGAGGATTTCAAATGGGCATATGTTCTTATGAAAATGACTGTTTTTTGTTGCAGGATATTAATTTGGGAGAATATTCAGGGCCAGTAGTTAACGACAACTGGATGGGGGTTATCTCTTCACAGGGTTCATCTTTACTTTCTGTTGATGTTTCGGGTTCAGATGTTACCGACTCTGGGTTAAATTATCTTAAAGATTGCGTGAACCTTCAATCGCTGAATTTTAATTTCTGTGATTTAATTTCGGACAAAGGTCTCCAACAGATCAGTGGTAAGAAGTTCACAAGTCCAAGAAAGTTATTTATTTATTTATTTTTTCTCGAGATCTCGTAATAACTTGAATCTGCGGGATTGCAAATCCAAATGTTATATATGTGTATGTAGTATCCCAATATTTGTTTTCTGATTTTAGTTTGACATGTCACTTCAAAGCACATTGTAATCTGTATTGGGATAGTTTAATTAGTGTGATACTGTTTTTTTTTTTTTCAAGATTTTAGTTGGTAACTTGACTAATTATTATCCGCTCGTTCATTCAAATTGTTGATATAAGTTGAGTTGGTGATGATACATGAAAAATTGAATTTGATGACTCGAAGAAAACATAGTATTTAACTATGCGACTCCTATTCAAGCATCAAATGTGCCGTTAGGAATGAAGCACTGTATGGCGTCTAATAAAGTTGAAGACAGAGGTTTTTGTGGTTCGTAGGTTAATATACTGAATGTGCTTATAAAAGCTATGAGCTGATGTGCTTCTTTTGCTTTTCGAGCTTTGTAGGTCTTTCAAACCTGACAGCTCTAAGTCTTAAAAGAAACAACTTGATAACTGCTCAAGCAATGAGTTTCTTGTCTGGCTTGATCAACTTGGAGAAGTTAGATCTTGAGAGGTGTCCAAAGATCCATGGAGGACTTGTTCATTTACAAGGTTGCTGTTTTGTCAAATTTCTGTTTACTGAAGTAATTTTCTGAATCATGATACTGCGTTTGGTGCGATTATATTCATGTCGTGTCAATTATAACTTATATGCCGAACAATTGTCCAATGCATAGGAATCTCAATTCTTTCTTCATGGCATGCTTTTCTTTTTTTTTTTTTTTTTTTTT